TAAATAAAAATAATTAAATAATTAAATTAAAATAATTTAATAAGAAGAGAAAGGAAAAGCCAATAGGAACCGGGACGCAGTAATTATAGCATATCAAATAATATTTCGTTAGACGGTGTTAATACATATATAATATAAAATTAATCATAATTTCGGCCCACATCGGGTCCTTATCAATGATATCACACAATAAAAGGACCACGTAAACTGTTTGAGATCGAGCTTGAGGCGGAGACGGGAAAACTATATACGCTTGTAATTGCCACGCGCCATGACAAAATAAGTCATGGCGCAAATCGTACGAATGGCAAGCCCTCGCATCTCTCGTCATCGCGCGCCTATCACGGCCCTGAGAATCGAGGCCACTGGCACACAATCTGGGGCTGCCAGTTAGCGGTTGGACAAAAAAGCCCGGCAAAAACAAACTTATCGAAAAACAACAATTATCATCGCCCTTCTACATGGATCCGAAAACAACGTTAAACAAAACAAGCTTAGCAAAAACTGTCGCCGGAAAATCGTCAATTTCTCGATCCGCCTGGATCCTTCTAGAACGGCACAAGATAATAAAAGCCGCGCGCCAAGAGGCCTCCTCGCATTTCGCTCAAAGTATTCGACGCGTGTACGCTAATCTTGCAATAAAAAATCTTTCGATAAAACCGACCTGTTAGTCGCGAAAACTGTTCGCCCTCGTTTCCGTAGCTCGCGGTACGTTGGCTCATCGCCCAACGGTAATTTCGCTGTCTTTCCGTTACTCGCGGATCGCCGGACTAAAAACTCAAACTGTACATATCTGTAAATAATATCTTTATTAGCGTTATATATTAAAACTGTGTGTCGTTTAAACTTTGTCGAATCTCTTAAAACTCGTCCGTAACTCTCCGTCCTTCTCTATTTCGCTGCTTCTCGCTCGCGCGTTCACTATTATTGCAGACATAAACAAATAACTCTAACGCGAAGTACTAAGTAAGAAACACAACATAATCAATTACACACTTTGTTACAATGCGCCTAACAATGCCATCAAGTAGTTCGCAAGTAATACGATAATCTAATTACTTTCGTATAGCTCGATTTACCGCACAAAAGCCCGATTTTTCTCATAGACGATGTGGTGAATTATCGTAAGGCAAACATATTCGGCGATGTAAATATTTATTCGTTATGCAAATTGTTCGCTGATAAACCACAAGGCGGAACTGAGCGAAGGCTCGCGTGTCTGGTGCAAGCGTACAAAGTTCGGGAGAATGAGAATGCATGAGTAAAAATTAATGAAAAGGTTAACCTGCAAAATTTAGAAAAATGTACTAACGAAATGTCAAAACACAAAGGAACAAGCGCAAAAAAGGGAAGAAAGCGGGTCACTTACATTCCAGAGACGATGTTGTCCATGTGGAGTTAGATCAAATAAGACGTTAAATTTTAAAATTAAAACTGGTCCATCGGAAATAAAATATAAACTTATCTGTAGGATGATTCGATATCGAATGAGCGAAAACAACACGAGAAGAGAGAACATAATCGGGTGAGAACACAAGAAATAATACTAAAGTCAACAAATGGAATAAGAAACAGAGAAAAAACGAAAAAAAGACAGCGAGAAGGACAATAGCATAAAGCGAGTAACAAAAGACAAATTAGGAATATTTATTAATAATAGGAAAGTAGGAATGGTCTAAAAATCTAGTGTCGTTTTGTAGGTCGTTTTGATGCTATTTTTTTTACTGTTTGATATATGTATATCATTTTCGATATACAGGGTGTTAGAAAAGTCTGGAAACGGTCAAATATCTCGAAAACAAAACTTTTCTGAAAAAAATGTTTCGAACCAAAGTTGTAGGGTTTTAAAAGTTCTACCATGCAACCTCCACGCCGTGCATCCTGGATAATACTAATGCTGGCGGTACCGTAAATTCTAAAGCTCATAACTCAGACAATTCTCAACGAAAATAGGTCATCAAGTAGTGTTTTGGAAACGTCTCGCTGTCATCTTTAATACTGTGTCATAAAAAATGGGGTGTTCCATTTAAACAAATCATGTTGGCCTTGATCTCGCCTTGACGCCTCCATTCAAGGTCAAACGGATATGATCATTGAATAGAACTTTTAAAACCCTACAACTTTGGTTCGAAACATTTTTCTCAGAAAAGTTTCGTTTTCGAGATATTTGACCGTTTCCAGACTTTTCTAACACCCTGCATAATAACAAATTATATATATATATATACACAGAGCCAAATGTTATTGCTCTTGGAAGATATATGGGAAGACACATAGTCCGTATGAACAATGTGAAATTGTGTGTGATAAAGGTAGACATGTCTATATTATACTGTTATCTATACGCTTAGATACGCTTAGATACGCGTGCGAGGCGATAGAGCAGTAGAAATACACGATGTTGTCTAATTTCAACATATTGAACACAATGCGAAGTTGCTTTTTATAACACGCATAAATCATGCATAATCATAGAGTAGTTAGTATCGGTAACGGCAGAACTAAAATTGTCGGTATTATCGATAATTGTGTCGATAATACCGACAATTTTAGTTATGTTTAGATGAGGGCGCTAACCCGTCGAAGTTCGCTCGTCGCTTTTGGATCCCTTTAAGCTTTCTCTGAAGTCAATGAAACAGTTGAAGTTAAGGATGTAGCAGTTGAAACTATAGATGGATCTGCTATTGCTGCCTCCTTTTCTGTCCTAAGATAAACATAAAGAAATGTTATCAGTTATATATCATAGAAATAAATAACTATACAATTTCTGGCAATTATTATGAAATAATTGCTTTTTTATTTTTAGTAAAATCTGAACTTAGAACTGACTTCTGCAATATATTATTATTTTTAGATTTCTTTGAGCGTTTTGCACGGGAGGATATACTTCTTCCTCCAAAATCTAGCGCTCGATCTGACAGATAAGCTGGTAGTGATTTGACCATTCCGTCAATGTCACCTTCATAATTGCCATGCTTCAATCGCTCTCTGTACAGATCTATACTGCGTTCACGGAGAGAACAACCTCGCTTCGCGCAGCTTTGGGCGGAGTGGGGATTAGGTGAGAGACTTCAGCGCGCTACTTCAATGCTGTATGTCGTATGCGTATCGATCGTGTATCACGTATGTGATCCGCCTATAAAGCTCGAAAGAAATGTCATAATATTGAAAGCTTGAGTCGTTTTCTGTTAATCGATTTTTATTATTCTTTTTAATTAAATCGCGATATATCTATTATATTTATTTTCTCTTTATGCAATCTAAAAATTAGAAATAAGATTTAATACTATTATAAATAAATAGGGTCCCCTTTGTCGGCTAGCCGGATCTGAAAGCTGCAAGACCAATTTTGGCAGCATGGAGGGGGCAAAATGGGCGGTCGGTCGGGCGGGATCTGACCGAACCGGACGAAAAGCGAGATCGTTCTCTCCGTGAACACAGTATATAAAATATGAAAAACAAAAGAGATGAATAATTAATAAAAGAAGAGAATATTGTAATATTTTATAATTGAATATTTACTTTGAGCTAGCATCAGGAATCCAAGCGGAAAATTTTTTAACCCTTGCTTTCTAGGATAAACTCTCATTAATTTAGCATCTTTGCCGAAAACTCCAACAAGAAGGGCCACAGCCCAGTCGCAATCATTTTTTGCTGCTTCCATTGCTGTGAAGCCTGCATGTGTGCAATAGAAACCACTCCCAAGATGAACCTGACAAAATAAAAGAATTTATTATAAAATGTGTTTTATAAAAAAATTATTACAAAAAAAAGATAAATTACCTTGTTTTCTGTTTCCGAAGACATACCGCTAGTGCTGTGTCTATCTCCGAAATTGCATACCTTTTCTGTAAAAATTTAGTCAATTTTATTAATTTTGTGTATTTAGGTTTAAATTTTAATCATATTGTCTTTCTCTGAGAGAATTGATTACTATGTTGTACACAAATATTTCAGCAGTTAAAACCAATCATTGGTTAGGGCTGGAGCACAGACTTTTGCATAAGCGCATAACCATAAGCATAAGAAAATTGATTTCCATTTCCTTATGCAAATGCTTATAGACCAATCAATTTTCTTATGCTTACACTGAAAAAAAAATTTGGTTGAAAAAGGCAAAATTTGTTTTGCCCAACTAAATTATTTAGTCCGATACGTTCAAATAAATATAACTAAAATATTACGAAATAATTTGTTGATGTTTAAACAAAATATTATTCAAACCATCAAAACAGAGAGTTTAGTACAACGATATACAGTTACTACAACAGAATATTTTTTTTTGTATATGAACACATTTGTTTGAATTGTAGGTAGATTCTGTTGCCTCGGATAGATCGTGATTTGAATTAACAAAGCCGATTTGTTTTTAATCGAAAGATTGCTCGAAACAACAAAATATAACATTTGATGAAACACTAATTTGGTTATGTTAATTCAAATCCAGTTGAAATCCATGTTTACGGAATTATAAAGCATCTAAAATTATATTACTTAAACTAAACTTATGATGCTAGTATTTTAATATATATTTGAAGTAACAAAACATCAATTTAACAGAAGTGAATGTTTTGTTGAATAGATTAAATATACTGTTTATATATTCGTTAACTCAGTTCAACGGACAATGTTGATGATTGGTGCATTCAAATGTTTTGTTATTTTAGTTAAAACTTTTCTCAAGCCAACAAAAATGCATTCCATTAAAATAAAAAATTTGTTAAAACCATAGTATATTGAGTTCAAAAAATTTCAACTTACTTAGAGGAATGAAACATATGAAGCGTATGACAAAATATAAAGTGAAAGCAACTGAATATCCTTTTGGTATAAACAAATATCCCATCGCATGAATGAAAGATATGATTGGTGTGTCCATAGGGACACACTGTTTGTCTGAATATTTCATTGACAGACAACAGAATTTCGTTGATATAAGTATAAATTCAGATGAACAAAAAAAATTTGTGATTTGTGTATCGATGCACTTGCGGTTTTAAATAAAGCTTTTGTTAAATTAATAAAAGCTCAGTTTGCCAAACCAAAGGATTTGTTGGAAAAACGCAATATAAAAGTTGAATAATACAATTCGTATAATTCAAGAAACTAAATAATACGTTAAGCTGGCAGAATAATTTTGTTCTCTTTGTTAATTCATTAAATTGATTCTTTCCAATGATGTTTTATTAGAACCAAATATTTCTTTCAATAGAGCCTATTATACGGTTGATGGAATTTGAAATTTCGTAGGATAATAGAGTAATTTAGTTACAGAAATATTAACTGTGTGTTTTAGGAATGAAAAATACGAATAAAAAGATGCAGATGATATCGTGAAAATATTTTTATTCATTAATACCATCATTATTCATTAATAACAGTATCTCAAAAAAGAAATATACAAAACATAGAAAACATTTATACATATAATATAAATGCAAATAATTACACTTAATCAAATAAAATATAGAGATTGCCATTGGTCATCGTGATCACATTATGAGGATCATACATGAATAAATCTTTTAATCTAATAAGTTTCCAAACACATGTTTCCGTTACTTCAGATGCGCAATAATGTCTATCACTACCATTGGTATGTAATTCTATATATATAAATAATATCTGGTCCATATTATCGATAATTATGTAACGAATTTTACCAAATACGATGTTATTGTCATCTAAATGTGTAGCTACAGCTACATCTTTATGATAAATAATACCATAGTTTTTAACCCAGGTATCAAGTACATGTTTGCATTGGATGTTTAATGGAAGAACATGTTTAAAGCT